TCAAAACAAACCTAGGGGACTCAGCACTGTGTCAGTCCTCAGATTTCAAATGCCTTAGATGGGATCATTTTCTCTGCATTCCTTAAAATTAGGTGTTTGGGGGAAGTACCTAGTAATAATCATAAGGAAAGTAGTGTTCTCTATCTTCCCAGAAGTAGAAAGCTCTTAAAATCTCATTTTATCAGACTGTTTCTGAAAAAGAAGTTAACAAAGATTCAGAGCTTCCCCTCTATCATAACCAAGCCTATGTGTGTCACTTTCTTATAGGACAAATGTGCTACTAAAGGTTGTGACAATGTTCAGGATGGTGATATAATAGCTCTGCACTGAGGAATTTAATATGCCAGGTATCACTGTAAGCCATTGAATGCTTAAGACGAGGTTGGCATTTTCACTCAGAAGATAGAGAAATTGATGTTCAGAGTAGTTAAAGATATTGTTCCACAGGAATATGGAAGGGAACCAGGGAGGTAAAGGAAAAGAAGGAACCCAAGAAAGAAGAGTAGGAGACAGGTGTTACTAGGGGAGAAATATGTAAAAAAGGGTTAGTTAAAATGGATGGGGGGTGAGGGCTATACAAAGAACTATGGGAATAAAGGGGGGAAACTTTTTACAGATACATAGTTAAAAGAAGAAAGAAAGAAAAAAAAAAAGCCTTAAGCACAGAAGGAATCCTACCAGGATGGAAGAAAACCCTTCCATAAGCAATACAGTTATTAAATGAAAATCCCAGTGCCACAGGTGGGTTGCCCCCCTTTGAGCTGAGGGCCTGAGACACCCTAGAGGTCCCCAAAACAATAAAGTCCATTGCCAATGATGCTGGTTGTACACTGGAAGTGGATGGATAAACCCTACTTCATGATGTGAGTGCAGGAGAGGGAGAACTCAAGCCTGGACTAAACTGGAAACTCCCTGTCACTGGATGGGCGGCTTTCATGATGCCATAAGGCAATATGCACATGACTGGGGGAGAATCATCTCCTAAAATTCTGCTCAACTACAGACCCACATGTCGCACTATCAACATGCCAAACAAGATGGTCCTGCTGGTACAGTAGTGGCACATCTAGTGTATAGTACAACCAGCAAATTTTCTATTGGACGTAATGCCTGCTCCTAGGGGTGGAACACACATCTGCTACTGTAGACCAGGCCAACCCCCTATGGCAGGGGAGAATATATGACCAGTGGGAAGTCACTGCAATTATTTTCTTAGATGGAAATGATGCACCTGCTAAAGTACCACCCAAGCATTTGTGTTTACACCCATAAATTATTATAGCAGCCACTGTTTAGATGTTCTTGCTTCTTGCTGTGTGTGTTTTTATAGTAGATGGAATCCTGCTGAAATACGCCAACAGCCCATGGAAAACAGATGATACAGAGACCTGGAAGTTCAGTGCCTTGCCACAATGAGAGGAACATCACCCCACACCTACCACCCTCTCCAAGACTCAGGGACTTTTGCGGAAGAGGTTGGTGGAAAGAATGTAAGAGCTGGAGGAAGGGGTGGAGTGCTAACTGGAAGTGTCCGCTGACCACTATGCCAGCAAGCTATAGCCACACCTCCTTCCCACTGTCAGCAAAGAGTCAAGGAGGGGAGTCAGTTACCCGTCCCACCCAATCAGTTGATCATAGCTGTATGTGGGGGAGGGGCTAAGGATATATAAGCCGAGAATGTCATGAGGCACCTCTCTTGCCATTCTGTGGGGCTCTCAAGAAGTCACAGGATCTGTATTTGAGCATGGACTCTCCAGTGCAGCCATAAATGGAGGGGTGCCCACTCTTCTGTAAATAAACTAGTTAGGATTAAAAAAAAAAAAAAAGAAAAAGAAAATTATATTGTTCCATGTTAGTCATTTGACAAACAAACATCACCACAGGAATTCGAGTCAGTGTGGAAAAAGTCCTTGATTTTGACAGCCTAAATCTAGAGACACACATCTTGAGAGAGCAATTAATCATGAAACACTATCGTAGATAAAAACAGATTAAAGAGAGCAAACATCTGTTCAACCATGATACATGAACCTCATCTTATAAGTCAATGAAACTTAAATAGCCCTGGTACTGAACTTAGCTGATCACTTCCCAGGTAAGCAATTACACATATTGGTATCTATGAGATACTGTTGCTTAAAAGTCTCAACTGTATGGTATCTTTCTGAAGACCTGTTGTTTTGTTATCTCCTGGTCCTAAGACATCTGAACCTTGTCTTGATGCTGTGGTCCCAAACCAAGACACTGCAGAGATGTCACTAGAAAATAAGGAAGGGGCATTTCATTGAGGAGGACTCCCAAGATGGACACGAGTCTAAGCACTGTGAGGTTTTAAGGGGAACAAGACACTAAAGTCAGCACACAAGCACTTGGAAGAGCCACCTTTACTGCTGATGCTATAGAGGAATCTGCCCTGGTCTGGACAGATTGAAGGAAAGTTTCCATTGAGAGCTTTCACAGGAGAAGTTTCACTGCAGTCTGAACAGGTTGAAGCCCCCATAAGAGGCGGACCTTCATTCCTTCAATTCCTAAGAATGTTTTACTCTCCACACAGGGTCACAAGACTATGTGGCTTCTCCTTGCTTCATTGTCATGTATGTGTTCTATGTTGGCAAGAGTCGTCTGTTCTTATGACACTTACCACAGAAAATTTCACTCCTTTTCATAAGGAAGGTATGTTGGTTCCTTATAAAAGACATTATTGGAAAGGCATACTCAACTTTATGATTCTAATCAATCCTTATCTTTTTTTTTTTTTAACCAGGCATGATCGTACACACCTTTGATTCCCCCACTTTGGAGACAGAGGCAGGTGGATCTCTGTGAAATTGAGGCTAGCCTGGTCTACATAGTGAGTTCCAAGTCAGCTGGAGCTGCAGGGAGACCCTGTCTCAAACAACATATAAAAAGAACCCTTTCCAACATTGTCTATTTTCAAGGCCCCATTAAGGATCAGGTTCAGCTGCCATGGACAGGATCCAAATACTAATTTGGAAAAATAATGTACACTCAAACCTGTCCAGAAAACATATATTCATGATGCAATAGGAAATGATATTTTAAACTTTATTGATAGAGGAGGGTGCCTCCTTCTCATTCCAGTTACAGTCTCATTTTGCACATTGCAATCCATAAGAAAGGGTATAGTTTTCTCGTCATGCCTGAATTGTCCAGTTAGATCAGCACTTATAAGACAGCTTTATAACCGCAATAAATTTCAATTCTAAACAAACATGGGAAGCACAATTTGATCACATGAAGACTGGATCAATTCATAAAATAACTCCAGAGAGGAGGCCCAATATAAGGATATTAATGTTTGTATGCTGTAGAAGACAGAGAAATGTGGAAAAAGAGAGCTAATTTGTCATTTTTAGACTCCTCTACCTTTTTCTGAATTACTGTTTTCAACACTGCCAAACTTTTGTGTAATATACTCAACTAATTCCATACAGCTCTTTATCTACAATATTAGATAGAAAATGAGTTCAATAAGAAAATTGAATGAAGAGAAAAATATGAAATATACCATATTTTTAATCTTATATATACCATATGTATTTTAATCTTAATTATACCATGTCTTTAATCTTATATATATGTAATCTTATATTAAATCTTACCTATGCTAGTTATGTCCAAGCCACTTACTGGCTTACCAGATGTGTTTTAGTCAATGTTGTGATGTCGAAGATCACGGTAATGATGTTGATGATGGTAACGGTAATCATGGTGGTAGCTGTTGGTGCCTTGTGCCAATCAAATGATGCCTTAATTCGATTTAATGCCAAAGATAAGTGTTTGATATAATTAGGTGTTTCCCCATCTTACAATAACACATAAAAATGTTCAGCCTCTTTTGCAGTCTAGGAAGTATAATCAATTCTATACTGGAATTCCTTCATACCCAGTGAGAATGTGTATCACCAAAATAATAATAACAAGTACTGGCAAGGATCTCAAGGAAAAGGGAAACATATACACTGGTGGTGAGAAATCACATTAGTCCATCCAATATGTAAATCAGTATGGAGTTAAACACTAAAAATAGAACTATTTAAGCTATATCACTTGAGTATGTAGGCAAGGAAGTCACATGCAGCACATAGTAGGGATGCTTGCGATCCCATGTTTATTTCAGTACTCTGAATAATATGCACGTTATCTAACCAGCCTCAGTGTTCACCAAAGGGTGGCTGGATTGAGAAGATGTGGCATTTATGCATATTGGAGTAGTATTCAGGCATAATGAAGAATGAAATCATGTCATTTATAGGCAAATGGATGGAACTGCACTAGTAAAATAAGCATGTTTTGGAAACAAGCATTGTGTATTTTGTTTCACATGTGGAAAGCAGAATAGATGGAAGTCGACATGTAGCAGCTACAGCCGAGGACAGGGAAGAGTGGGCAGTGGGCAGGTGGGCAGTGAAATAAAGAATATCGTCAGAGTATATGCATCTGTGAACAGCACACATTTTTCTAAAAATAGAATGTGCTAAAGGAAGAGATTGCAATTCTGTTCCTCAAGCAATTAAACGCTGATTAGGAAAAATACATGAGTTCGATATACCATACAAGCAATGTTTTAGTATGAGCCAAAATTCAACCAAAACCTGTTTGCAACAAAGCAAATCAAAGAAGCATAAAAATAAACCTATATGAGAACATGTTTACACTATCACCAAACTTTATTCAGGAAATGGAACAAAACAGACTTGGAAGACATCCTCTGTTGGCACTGAGGGGACAGCTGTGTTCTTCCTTCTGAACATTTGGGATGCTGGAACCACTGAGATAGGATCATTCTCAGGCAACTCCATGACAGAGCAGCCTCAGGAAAACGCCTTACCCTCTGGGGATCACAGACAGGCTAAAGGATAAAGAGTGGAGCAGATCCTTCTGCTTCCATGACAGGCTTTGAAGGGAAGGTGAAGGTGTTGCTATAGAAGTAGACGAGACTTCGTATCTTCCCTTGGTCCTGATGACTCCTGAAGCCGTCACTTGCTTTTGGGTGGGCACTTCTGCTGGCAGGGTGGAGGAGGTTGCACAGGAGGCCATTTCTGCTGGCATGGCTGAGGGGGGCATGGCTCAGGGCACTTTGGGGGAGGACAGGGCTCAGGGCACTTTGGGGGAGGACAGGGCTCAGGGCACTTTGGGGGTGGACAGGGCTCAGGGCTCTTTGGGGGAGGACAGGGCTCAGGGCTCTTTGGGGGAGGACAGGGCTCAGGGCACTTTGGGGGTGAGCACACAGGAGGAGGCTGGCAGGGCTGCATGCACTGCTGCTGATGGTAAGACATCTTGCTGGATTCTAGAAATCTGAAAGGAATTACATGACAGTGTTCAGAAGAAGTGATCCCTGCAGAGGAAAGGTCAGTTTATTGAATGTCAGATGTTACTCCTCTCTGTGTCCATATGCATTGATCTTCCTACTCCTTTTAGGACTTCCTGGTTTTCCCTCCTGTGTCAGTTATTTGTTTCATTAGTCTTGGGAAATCTTCCTTTTATGTCATGTCTTTTTCTCTGTTTCAAAGAACCAAGTAATGCTATTTGCGTACAATAATATCTTCAAGAAATCCAGTCCCAAGTTCTGAAACCCTGAGCAATCTCAATAACAATTCTTATCACCATTTTTGTTTGTGACACCCCAGCAGGTTGACTGGTATGCCCAGCCGAAAGCATCTCAGGAAACTTCAAGGGTCTGAACACTTCCTAAGATGTAAGCCTTTGGAAAAAGACACCAAAACAAAACATAGGAAAGAGGAAAACTCTCTGTTCTGTCCTCTTCAAATCAAACCATGAGAAGTTGAATTTTCATATGGATATCAACTATTATCAGTCAAATTGAAAATCCAATGAATTCAGGGAATCATTGTATTCCATTTTTAAATATTTGCCTACTTTGTAACATTCATCTCATGATCACCAAGCTTACTCTCTCCAAATTAAATTCAGCACATGAGAAAGCCAAAAAGACAATTCAAACTCACCTGGTTTTTCAGAGTAGAACAGGACTGAGCACCAGGAGTTCCATAGTCATGCACAGAGGACCTCTTTGTAGGACTCTTTGCCCCACCCAGCAGGAAATTGAACTGCCTAATAGTGGGTAGGACCAAGGGTTTCCTAACCAAAATGCAAATCCATATGTAAGTGTCTTGACTGGGCTCTCCAAAGTGGGGAGCATCCTGTTCATGGAAGTGCTGTGACTCAGAGACCATCCTTTCTTCTGGGTCTCAATGGTTCCTGGCAGTTAGATTAGCTGGGTATTTTCTAACTGGTTGTCAAAGTTGTCTTTCTTGATTGAAGACAATTGCATTCCTGCCCTCCTGTGTCTTAAACCATCTTATTTGTTCTGCTTCAGCTAACTGCTCTTATGTGGTAGATAAGCCTATTTCTCTTTCTGCTTTCTTCATATTCTTTGCCAGTGTGCTGGAGGAAGGGGACAACTGAAGGGCACTGTAAGTGTGGTTTAAGTTTGATCTTTGATGACACCTGTACCCAGCAACAGGACACTTCTACCTGGGTGCAATGGTTTGAATGATAATGTCCCTCATAGGCTCCAAGTATTTGGACATTCTGTCCCCAGATGGTGGCACTGTTTTGGGAGGTTTTAGAAGGTGTGGCTATCCTGGAGGAAGCACATCACTGGGGGTGGGCTCAGAGAGTTCTTAAGCCTTGCCAGATCTCCAGTCGCTCTCTTGCTTCCTGTGCCTGCATGATGATGTGAGAGCTTAGCTTCTCCTGCTCTTGTTCCAGCCACCTCCAGCCACCATGCCTCCCTGCCATGAGGGACTGTAATTCCCCTGGAACCGTAAGCTCAAATAAACTCTTCTTTTGATAAGTTGCTCAGGTTAGTGTTTCTATCACAGCAACAGAAAAGTGACTACACTGAGTTTGATACTGTCCCTGTAAACAAGGGAAAATAATACTTGCCTACTAGAGTGGATGCTGTGCTGGTGGCCTTAGGTGTTATCTTGGCAGTCCTAAGGTCTGCCATGTCAAATAACATAATTTGGGGTATACCTTGAGTCTCGCCTTCTGAATATGCCACAAGACCAATAATCATGACAGAACAAGAACTAAAATCACAACTGCCCTAGATTAGATGGTTGACTTGAATATACAAAATCTGTCACAGATCACCTATGTGTAAAGCTATCAGAGATTAAATGTGGTATACAACAATTGAAGTTTCTCTAAGTTGGAACTTCCAAGAGACACAGAACACTGACTAGTTCAAATGCAACAGACACACACGTGTGCACACATACACACACACGGTGGATCTTCCATTTTATCTGTCATCTAGCTATGTATGTATCCCATGAAATTTGCTTATGATCTTTTTAAAATATTTTATTTATTATTTTTATTTTATGTGTAAGGGTCAGTATGTCTGCATGTGTGTAAGTGCACTTGTGTCATGCAATTCCCATGGAGGTCAGAAGAGGGCATCGGACTCCTCCCCTAGAACTGAAGTTACTGATAGTTGTTAGCTGCCATGTGTGTTCTGGAAGAACAGTTCTTATTCTCTGAGCCATCTCTCCATCCCTTTGTTTATGATCATGAAGGATCAAATAGAAATATATTCAATCCCACTGCTTTTATCTCCTGATTTTCCAAGATTTTACTATATATTCATTACTACAGGAAAACCCAAGTAGAAAGAACAGAACTTTAATGTTTTTATAAAACATAACTTATTTTATCTCATATTTTACTGCTATGTGTTATATATCATTAGAAAAAAAATAGTCCTGCCAACGTAAATTTTTAAAATAAAATTAGGTAAATTATTATATACATCTTATAATTCTTTGATTAGAAAATTTAAAAATTTATAGCAAAAATAAAAGTATTTACCAAGAACAATAATACTCTTATCTCATTCAGCATATCCAAAAAAATTAGTATCCAGTTCCAAGTTGTCAGTCCTAAACACATGTACACACAAGCACTATTAAATAGACTCAGTACATTATATATGTATATATGTATATATGTGTGTATATATATGCATATATAAACGTATATATGTATAGGTGATAATAATTATCAAAGAAGAAATCATAAAATTCAGAGGGAGGGGGGACATAAGAAGAGTTGGACTGGAGAGGAAATTATGTAAATATAGTACTCCAAGTATGAATTTCTCAAAATAAAAAATACATATATAAATGTGAAAATAACAGAGGCTAGTCCCCTCATCCCCCTTTGGGCATGGCCCCTTCCTGCTGCCACAGCTTGAGCTCACCAATTGACCAAGAAGACACTGCAATCCTGAACATGTACTGTATGCACCTAAAAACAGTATTACTGGACTTCAAGACACAGATTAACCCCAACTCAGTGATAGTAGATGACTTCAATACCATTGTCTCCAATAGACAGGTCAATTTGACAAAGAATAAAGAAAGAAACATCTGAATAAATGATATCATATGTCAAATGGACCCAACACATCTAGAGACTATTCAAACCAAGCACCAAAATGTACACATTCTACTCAGCACTTCATGGAAGTTTCTCTAAAGTAGGCCACATACTGGAGCCCAAAACAAACTTCAATAAATACCAAAACCTGAAATAATTCCATGTCTTCTATTGGACCACAATGCAATAAAGTTTAAAATCAACAGTAAAAGAAGCTGTAATAACTACATGAACTCAGGGAGGCTAAACGACACACTCCTAAATGATGAATGGGTCAAAGAACAAATCAAGAAAGAAATAAAACTATTCCTGGAACTAAATGAAAAGTAGAAATAAAAATGACTAAGAAACAGCTTAAAAGGCATTCAGTGTCCTTATTATTCCCTAATTAAGGAAATGCAAATCAAAGCTACTTTAAGATTTCATATTACCCCATTCACAATGGTTAATAAGATCAAGAGAAAAAGTGACACCAAATGCCGCCAAGTATGCAAGGAAAGGGAACTTCTCATTCACTGCTGATGGAATTGCAAACTGGTGCAACCACTGTGGAAATCAATGTGGAGAACTCTTTTTTAATACTTTATTTTTTTTATTTTAGGCATGTGAGTGTAGTCCCTGCATGTATGTAAATGTGCCCATCTCATGCAATACCCATTTAGGTCAGAAGAGGGTGCCAGATCCCCTGGAACTGGAGTTACACACAGTTGTTAGCTGCCATGTGGGTGCTGGGAACTAAACGCAGGTCCTTTGCAGGAATAGTCAGTATTTTCACCTGCTGAGTCATCTCTTCATCCCTGAGAACTTTTATAAAACTCTTATAAAACTAAAAATAAAGCTACCATATGATCTGGTTATACCACTCCTTTGTATATACTCAAAGGACTCATCCTACTGCAGAGATACTTGGGCAGATACTTTTGTTGCTGCTCTTTTCACAATAGCTAAGAAATGGAAACAATCTACATATCCCTCAACTGATGAATGGATAGTGAAAATGTGGTACATTTAAACAATGGAGTTCAACTTGGTGGTTTGAGAAAAAGGAAAATCATGAAATTTTCAGGTGAATGTATGAAACTAGAAGCTGTTACACTAAGTGAAGCAAAGCAGACTCAGAAAAGCAAGTGGTGTGAGTTCTGTCTCTTTTTGTGAATCTTAGCTCCAAATCCTTAGGTATAAGTATATATCCTGATGTAATCACAGGATCAAGGGAAAAGGAAAGGATCCATTTGGATAAACGGGAAGAAGAAGTTCAAGAAAGGAGACAGTTGTTATCAAAGGAAGATGGAGAAAATGGAGGTGCTTGGGAGGGAGGAGAAGTTACACAGGGAGATAGAGAAGAGAGATAAATAATGCTTAAGTGGTGTGAAAATTCAGAGGGAAATGTATTAGTTCAAAAGGCTACTGAAAAATATACATACAATATCTACATGTGACTGCATGTGTATAGCTGAGTGCCACAGAACAAAAAACACAGTGTCAGGCAGGAGAAACCTCACATCAAGTTGGTCAGTGTAGTCTAAGAGACTCCCAAAATAATATAGGCTATTGTCACAGCCCTTGATTCCCTCCAAGAAGTTGAAGGTAAGACCCTATTGCTGAGGACAGCACATATTTCAGGCACAGGACTCAGAGTAATCAAGCTGGACCTGTCTTGGAAGTCATCTCCATAAAGACTAGTTCTCATAGTTCTAAAGGATACTATGCAAAGGGAGAAAACCAATCAATTCTCCTACCCAGCTGTAAAGCCTAATAAACAGCAATAACTGGCCTGGAAAACTACCTCTATGATGCAGTAGTGGCACTTATATCTTGTGGGTAATCAAGAGCTGTCTATTTGGGCCTAAGACCTTCTCGATGGGAG